TGAATTAAAAGTCGGGTTAGGAGACATTTGGGTGAGATACCAGAAAGGCACTGATCCTGCAGTTGCAGAACTGGGCCCCAAGCTTGGCCATTTGCTTCTAGAGTGGAAGGTTTGAATGCTATGGAGGTAGCTGACCTAGCATTTGGGGTTTGGGTAGAGGGGACCTAGCAGGAATGGCAGCAACGGTCCCGAGTATGAGCCTTTACTCCCAGCTGAATTACTAGCAGTAGAGAGTGAGTTTCCTTTAGTCCTTTTCATGGGAGGGAAGGTCCCTTTCTGCAGTACAAGATCTGGGAGTAAGTTATTTTGTTTGTTTGTTTAAAACTGAAAGTCAAACAATGGAAACAGGGTGAAATGGGAGTGACCCCTTGAAATCTCCTTGACCATTCCCTTCCCCTTGGGGGAACAAAAAGACCAAAGGATTTTTCCTCTTAGTCATCAGTTTGTGGAAACAGGCTATCCAAAGACATACTGGGGGCTCCACTGGAGTTGTGGTTGCCATAAAATAGATGGGCTTCGTGGAGCTGTAGTTCACTCCATCCTAGTGTATCTTTGTGCCTGCAATAAATTCTTCAAGGGCAGGCTGTAATCTTGGATGTGTGATACATATTGGCATTTATCTTGAAACATCTGCAGCCACACGTGCATGAAAGAACAGCAGCAGAAAGACAGCTCTTCGCATCATTTGAGACTAGAAACAAGCCGATGGGTGGGTGGAACCCTTGGGATCAGAGGACTGTAGGCAAGAGGTAGTTAAAGTTAATATCCTTCTTCCCCCCAGCTGGGTTCCACCTCTTCGTTTGTGCTCAGTGTTTTGTTTTTAGGGCAACTTTCAAGTATTATAATGTAAAATCAGCTAAAGTCTCATTATTTAGTAGGTACAGTTAGTTTGAGTTTTCAGTTCAGGGAATGTTCTGTGCAAAATTGACGTGGCTCTGATGCTATGTTTAACAATGTCCTCCTCTTCCCTTTCAAAGTTTCAGAATATTTAGGCCAGTGAAGTTTCTGTATGTTGTGGATATGATTCATTTGGGCCATGGGAGGAGGGTGACAGTTACTTGCTACACAAATCTTTCCTGTGATTCATGAAACATCATTTGTGTCAGCCTTGTAGGAGGCAGTTCATCTGCCTCCTAGTAGGAGGGAAAAACACTGGCATCGCTGCTGTCAGATGGGCATGGTAAAAATGGTGGTTAGACAGAAGAAAGTAGCAGGAATGCTGGGGCTCTGTGTGCAATACTTATTGATGTACTTAATGAAAGACTGATGTGTATCAAGCATAGATGTCTTTAAGGAGAACAGCACTGCTACAATAGCCAAAAATACAAAAGAATGTTGCTTTTCATCGTGTTTTAATTTTTTTTCTAACTTTGTGTAAAAATGTCTTTGCACTTTACCTTCTGGTTGGCTGAATCCACTGTTGTTTCACATAGGAGAAGGCCCTTATTGCTGAACTTTGTCTCAGCAAAACTTTCAGTTTCTGCTGGTAAGAGCTGGGAGGTCAAATACAGTGTTGTATGCTTGCACTCTGCTGTTTACTGGTACAGTAAAGACAGTTTACCAAATTCTGTTAGCCTCCCCATAGGAAGGCATTTTCCCTGGTCCACCGAAAAGTTGAATAAAAACATTAAGTGTAACTTCCTTGTCAAAGTCAATGACCCTGATCATCCTAGCTAGATTTGCTCATGAAAGAAATACACCCTACAAAGGACCTCAATTCGGTATGGAAGATGGCTCAGCTGTTTCTGTGGCACTGTTGATCTTTTCTTCCAGACTCTGTGGAGGTCACTCTCTCAGTCTAGGATCCACATAGAGTAGATGAAGACTGGGAGAGCTGGGGACCTGTATTATCATTTAACCTGGGGTTGTATTATCTTTTCTATAGAGCCTCAGCCATCCCACAATCCCCCTGCCCCCATCTCACCCAAGGACCCAGAAGCATCCATGAGGAATCCCTAGTAGTACTGCTCCAATGAACCTCTAGTATGTCCCTGGAGACCTGCCTCAGGGTCTGTTGTGTGGGACTGAACAAATCCTGCCTCCCCACTCATGGGAATGATAGGTGAGGGACTCCATAAATGTATTCCTCATGGAGGTTTCCAGCCTTCCCACCATCAACCAGGGTCAAGGAGGGGTTGAGTTGGGATAATGGTTTCAGCTGCTGCAGACCTAACAAAATTATCATTGAAAGTCAACATGACGATTCAGTATCTCAAAAGCCAGGATTTAGTCTCAGCTTCATGTATTACATGGAGGCGTTTCTACCAGCCTCAAGGCTGCATGATGTGCTGGAGTGGAATAAGGAGGATTTTCTCATACAAGGGAATTATCTAGAGAAAAATGGCTACACAGAACAATTTGTGATGGTACTCCATAGCTAAACTCAATCTTTCACATAGATGGGTGGGGGGCTCAGTAGCTTTAAGGCAAAGTACTACATGTTATACCTATAGTTTCACCCAACCTTACCAATCAAGACACCTTCATAAAACTATAGATATAGCCAAAAAGAGGGATGAATAAGGGAAGGGAAAGGTGTTACATGTGGGGGTATGGGCATGGTCTGCTTACACCACCTTGTCTCCATGTTAAATGTATGTAGACCCACATGGTTCAAGAAACATTCTCGTCTTGGGGTCTTGCTTATTGACAAATCATAATAGTTGAACATCAACTTCAGCACTAATCTGCCAGCCCTTCCCCTTAGGTTTGACAGTTCCTGGCTAAACCCATCTCCTTCCTGAAGCTTTTCTCAGGGGAGGGTTCTACTATTGTAGGTATATTCCACCTGGCTGGCATGGACAGCCACCTCCCAGGTCTTTCTCCTGACTCTGAGCCTCCCGCCTTTGTCTGCTCAGGTTCTTTTTTATTAGGAAGTGCCACCTCTGGGCTGCTGGCACATGATCCTTGGTCACCTGACTCAGCTGCTGGACAGAGCCTAGAAGCAGGATGTTAGGACATGGGCATGTGCCCAGGAACCAGCATGCCATTACATGAGATTGTGTGGTTTTAAGAAAACACCACTCTGGAAAACAGTCATTCAGCATTGTTTTGAAAGGGAGAGAGGGTGGTCCTGGGATGGATGACAGAGAAGGAAGATGAACCTCTCACAGCCACCAGTACAAAGGGATGATTACCTGCAACACAAGACGTGATGATTGAATTACTAGAAAATGAGTGGTGTCAGAATGCAAGTGTCTGCCAGAACAAGAGAGGTCTCTAATATAGCGAGGGCTTTTGGAAGTCTTACAGGCCCGCATCTAGTGTGAATTGATGTAGCGCCATTGGAGTCAGTGGGGCTATGGTGACTTATACCAGCTGAGGTCTGACTCTTGCGGCCAATCCTCTGCTTCACAGGCTGCCAATTCAAGGCAGCCACAATATGACCTGATTGCTCAAACCAGTTAAGCAACGTTTTTCTGCGTTCTGCGCAAGCTGCTAGTGATGTAGAAGCACTGCAAGGAAGAAGTTACAATAATTGAACACCAGGGTCACCAGGGGCTGTGTTCCTGTTGCAGTGTTGTCATGGGATAAGTAAGGGCACAGCTGAAAAAAAATTGCACAACTGGAGGAAACTATACACACTTTTGTACTGTATATGACAAGTGTCTCTCCCTGAAAGGTAATGTCCGAATAAAGAAAAAGCGAGTTTAGAATGGAAAAGCAGAGACATAACTGAAGGTGGAAGAAGGTGTTTGGAGTGATGCAGAGGGGAGTAAAAATAGCAATGTCTTACAGAACAACTGTTCTGTATTCACTACATTTGAGTAGGCAATGACTACTAACTGGATTAAAGCACTGTTTGATTCATCCATATGGCTAAGTCTTCCATTATTTCCTGTATTATAAAATGCTGACTCCATTTGGATTTTACAATACTAATGTTTATTTTGGGGGAGAGGGGAAAGAAAGGGGACTAATTATAGCTTTGAACTCCACTACAATGAGACAGGGTTTCTATTAAATATTTCTCAGGCAGTCTGATGAGTCATGACATGCAACTTCTTCAGAAAATATCCTGATTGCCTAATGACTAGATGTTGGTAACTGAAATTACACACTCTGTCTCTCACACTCTCATGAAACCCAGGAAGTGTCTGTCTCTGAGTAAGTTGTTTATTGAAGTTACCCAAGAAATGCAAAAGGGCTTATGATTGCAAGATAGGTAAAAAAATATAACTGAAATTTGAGGAACATGACAAACACCTGCTGTACAATACATATAGTGAAATATTATTACTGTATTTTCATTCACAACATAGGAAGTACTTTCCATATTTTAAAGATAATAATGTATCTTCCTTATTAAGTAACAAAGGTCAAGCACTGATCAACTGTAAAGAAAGAAAAGCATTGAATCACCAGATGAAAGTAACAAAATTAAATACCTTTAGCACAAAATCTTTATAATAAGGATTGCCACAACATAGTATGGTGCAGAGTACATTAAACACTTGCTCCACTGACTTACAGTTCAAACACAATTTCTTCTCAGAGGGACATGAAATTCACTTTCCATCATAGATTTTTAAGTTCAGAAAGAACCATTATAATATCATCTGGTCTGATCTTGTGAATAACACATGCCCTAGCTTTCATTTGGATTCTGTCCTTGGCCCTACTTCATTAATGCTCCAACAATTTATGGTTAACCTAGAGCATGTTTTAGAAAGACATCCAATAATTGAGAGTTTGGATAAACTGACCTCCAAACGTTGGAAAGACTATAGACTTTTTAAATTCTGCAGTAGAAACGTTTTCTCCGGAGTTTATAAACTATGAAGGTTTCACCCCTTAAGCCTGTAATTCAACTTTGGGAGGCTATATCTACCTTTCAGATAACAGAATTTAAATTAATTGGGATTTGAGTAATTAAATGTTCACTGTATTTTAATAATTTATGTTTTAAAATGATTGCAGATGAATTTAGCTAACTCCTATCCAGTCATGTTCCCATTTGCATGGAGGAGTGATGAATGCCTATGTACTTTGTTTTGCAGATGATGTAGAGGAGGTTAACAGAATGGAAAGTGTGATGTTAGAATATGCTGCGATGGACAGAGAGCTAAACCATTATATGCAAGCAGTTGAAGCTACAGTACATCAGGTAAATGATCATAGCCATGCCAAATATGGACGAGATTTTCTAAAACACTTTTAATTCTTACAAAAATTACATTAAAGGAACATTTAGTCTTCAGAGTCAAAGGCTGCAAAGTTAGGAAATGCCAGAATCAAGGTTGCCCATGCAACCTTAATTCAGCCCCCTTTGCACATGCATTGTGATACAGTGTTTTAATAACATGATCACATACTATTTTTTCCACAGGACTCCTATTTCCTTCAGTGTAGAGGATGGAAGGCACTCTGGGAATGAACCAGGATTGTGTAGTTAATAAATAGTTTTGTAGGAAATGCACCTCATTTGTTGCAGAAGTTGGAAGATGTATAGTGAACAAAGCAGGTGACTGTGGGAATAAAAAAGATGATCCCCTGGTTCAGGCAGTTAAATGCCACCTTTAGGAACTGGAGTCTATCCCTGCCCCATCACAAAGTTCCTATGTGATGCTGAGCAAATAGTATTTTTGTTTTTAAAAAAGCAAACTGGTAATCAGAAATGCCATGATCTTGAACCATATTGACTCTCATATGGATTCATCATCAAGGTTAGAACCTTCAAATCTATAGCCCAGACCTCTGCCACTTGAGCTAACAGAGTAAGTAATAGCAGTAGAAAGTTGTCATCTTCTGTGGAGCCAGCCACTAGAGGGAGACGAGACACACATTTTGCAGGGCTTTCACAGCTATCTGCTGACCGCAGAGGAATGTTGAGACTCTGTAATCTTGAGTTCTATTCTAGAGACAAGTGTGCTGTAGTAGTTACAGCTCCTTTTGCACATGTCCCCTTCTTTTCCTGCCCCTTCAAGTCTGTGTCCTAATCTCCCCTCCCCATTTCACCCCCCTCAGCTTCCCATCCTGATCCCCAAGTCCTCACCATCAGCACTTTCTTCCAGGCCCAGTCCCCTATCCTGGTTCAGTTCCTCATCTCAGACTCCCCCATCAGCTCTCTCCCAGCTCAGCTCTTCAACCTGTCTGCCTTCCTGGCAAGCTGATTGTTTTCATCAACTGTCTTGCCACCAGCAGGGGGAGCATTGAAAGCATAGAAGAGAATGTTCCTGCTTTCACTCCTGTGACTGGCCCCAGAGCAGCCCCCAGCTGCCAGGAGAAGCAATTGCAGGGAAAGCCCTGCTCTCAGCTCCTGTCCCATTGCTCAGTACAGAGTGGGAGTCTTCTGAGAATTTAGCTGCTAAATCTCTACTGAGTATATGCAAACTGAGATTATCAGGGGCTCATAACCTGGCCAGTTGTGGGCAGATTTTCACAGAGAGCAAAAGACACATTCCTGCCACCATAGCGTTCTCCCTGCCAAATATCACATCTCTTCTTTAAAGCACAGAAGCCCTAGAGCTTTGACAGGTGTTTTGGGAAAAAGTCACATGGGGAAAAAAGTCACCTGAGCAGGTGCCTTCAATCAAGGAGAAGAAGTGTAATACAGGTTACAGCCTTGCAGCAGAACAAAGAAATCAGGGGAGGACAGCAGGTGTTTTTTTCTGTAGCTGTTCATGGGAAGTGGGAGCTTCTACAGCTCTACTCTTCTATTTATTACTTATTCTGCACCCATCAAGTGGGATAATTTCAAAGCATGCAGGTGGCCTCCAAACTATACAGCATCTCTTCTGCCCGTATCTATGGCCAGCTGTCAATCTACCTTAGGAAGTGGGGCACTTTCCCCTAAAATCTATGTAATAGTTAAGGTGAATGAGACACTGGTGCTATTTCTCCTTCATCCTTGCCAAAGTTAGGGTGGCTGCTATTGGAAGCAGAACAGACAGAACCACATGTTAAAGCAGCCTCTGGTGGCCAGGCTCCCTGCTGACTTGGGAAAGGCCCAGAGAGGGTCCAGTTTTTTCCCAGGGACAAAGCACCAGGCTATTAATTTGTGCAGACAGAGATTACCATTTTTCATTTATTAACATACTCAACCTGAAGGTAAAAAACCACCTTTCATCAATCTGATCTTACTAAGTGTGTGTCCATTGTTCACTCTGTGTGTGTGTGTGTGTGTGTGTGTGTGTGTGTGTGTGTGTGTGTGTGTGTAGTAGTAA